CACGACGATGCCGTCGACAAGTTGAGTGAGTCCGCGGCCATCGCATACCGCAGTCGCGGCCACCAATTCGCCGGAAAATCACCGGTCGCTGGCGTAGGTGAGGTGAATTTGGGGAAACGACTTCTGAATTGATTTTTTGGAACAATAAGGGTTTTATAAAATTGGTATGGAAAATCTTAATAAAAGAAAAGCTACCTAATTATGTTGGAATTGAGAGATGTAATAATAAATAAAGCCACATCATATTGCCACATCACATTGTGGCATAGCTTATGGTACCTATATGGGTACCATAGAATTTCTGCTATCAACATTGTCTATATGTAATGCATCGCATGTCAAGTGATTTTGGTTATATCTCTTTTATCATATTTTGTACCGATCCATCCATTAATTCTTATTCTTTTACCAATTTCACGGAAATATATTATACGAATTTGTGTATATCTCGCAAATGCTAACGCATTTAGTATGAAATACATAATTTGAAACATTTTGTTAGAAAGAATTATGGAAATTTTTGTTTTGTTGAAAAATTTTCAAATGATGAAAAACTATAAAATAAAAATATAATTATTAAAATTAAAATGATATAAAATAATAAAATATTAATTTAAAATAGTTGAAAATTAAAATATCAGATGTGTAATAATATTATTTTAATTGTTAGGTTTGTAGTAATATTATCCATTCACAATCTTATTGGCAAAAATTAAATTTTTTCTTCATAAATCTAATTAAACAAAAAATGAATAATCATTTATCTTCATTCTTCATGTACTAATTAATTAGGTAATTGATTTTAATATTGTTAATTTTGCTTTATCTGCCGACAAATACTCAAATTATTCCCTAATTTAACGTGTTGCCCTTGTCATATCATATATTATTATAGATTTGTTACTAAGATAAAGATGGATTTTTTTATTTCAATTTTTGAGATTTAAATATTTTCCAAAAAAAATTAAAATATAATTAGGCAAGTTTTTTTTAAAAAAAATTGAAATTTAAATATAACAAATTACATGATTTATGGTAGCATTAAATGCGGCCTAATTTTTTTATTAGAGAAATGAAAAAGACATTCTAAAAATAGAAGCATTAAATGTGCCCTAAATTTTTTATTAGAAAAATGGAAAAGACATTCTAAAAAATAAAATGTAATTAATATTTCCAGATTTTTTGCTTACTATTTTCAGTAAATAGTAATTCTTATTAGATACATATATATATATATATATAGATTTACATAAAAGTAGCAGAAAAAACTACCCAACTATATGCGGCATATCTTTACAGAGATATAAATTATAGAACGAGGAAATTCCAGAGTAATTTATGTATTTACACAAATTTAAAAGTGTGTGAATCTCTTAAACCTGTCATATTAGATATTTTTTGCCCAAATTGGAAGGAATATAGTTGAGGCGTTTAGACGATTGGATGGTTGTATACAGATTTATCCAAAAAAAAATCTAATCATTTTTAACTCAATAATTTTTTAACGCAATTTTAACTCAACTACACTGTCATCAATATTATCATTATAATTAAATAATATCAATCAATCATTCTTACACACTCCCATCAACTTCAATTTATTATTCATCTACTCACATAATTTTAACTAACCATCACTCCAAATCATATCTCTCATAATTTCACATCAAATCAATTTTAATTATTTTATTTTAAATATTATTTTAATATACCCATGTTACTAACCATACCACATTTTTCAAAATTAACCAAATCAAACCAAAAAAATTCAAACAAATCCAAAATTTTTTATATCCAAGCATCTTATCTAAATTTTGATTTTGCAGCAAAATAATCCTGGCAAATTATTTCCTAACAAAATTGATACAAATTTATAGTTTTTTTTATTTTTTTCATTTCAAATCGTGGGAGAGCATGACGACCAAAAAAATGCATTGTATTTGGTCGGCAAATCCGATAGACGCAGCGACACGTTAAATTCCGGCACTTATTAATAAAGTCAGCCATCACGCATTTATGAAAATATTATGTTTGATACTATTTAATTTGTCAATGGTAATGCGAAATTTCTGTTCCATTTCCTTTCATATATAAACACGTATTCTTAACGGATAATCCCTCTCATAAACACGTATAATAAACACGTATTAAATTTTTGTACCACATTATTTTATGAGGCTCGCAATCGGTAGCGGTATATCGTCAACTTAAGTTTCAACTTCAAGTAGATGCTACTCCCTCCTATTCATAATAAGTGTCGTTTTAAGAAGTTCCACAGTAATTAAGGATATTTTTTTTGTCAATAATAACCCTCTTTAATGAAGATAAAGAATGATGTTTTGGACAAAAATAAAGAGTGAATATGAAAAGACGTAGTTTATTTATTAGCTAAATGAGGGTAATAATGGAAAAATATGTACAAAAGATCTAAAACAACATTTATTTGGATAATAGTTGATAAAGTCAAAATGACATTTAAAAAAAAATAGGAGGTAGTATAATCTATCATTATATAAAAGAATAACCTTTTTACAAATTTAGAAACTTTTTCCCGCCAAAATCATTAAATATATCCTATATATAGTAATTGTTGAACAAATCTGAATAGGCAAAAAAATCCGCTCATTAATTGTGCAAAGATTTGTTTCTCTTTTTCCTGTTTCTTAGTTTATCGTTTTAACAATAAATATTTGTTTTTCTTTTTCCTATTTTTAGTATAAATCTACACGAGCTTATCTCTTCTGTTACAAAATTTCATTGCATACGATCTTAGGTGTTTAAAAAATCTCATCTCTTATCTATACAGATTTGAAAAAATAAAATAAAATAGAAATCAATTCATAATTACTACTAAAAATCCATTATCTTTAAAAAGAAAAAATAAAATAAAATAGAAACTAATTCATAATTACTACTAGAAATCCATTATCTACTTTAAGAAGCTAATTTTCATCGGTCTAATTACTAATTTTTTATAAATATTCTAAGCTAACCATACAAAAAAGTATAATAATAATTTTGAAATGGTGTGTAATCAAATTTTTATATATTCTCTTATACAAAATCATTTTACATTGTTTGACCCCGAATCTTTAATTTATAATTATTAAGTATTGTTTATCCTCCTCTTTTATTTATAATTATTTTTTTTTCTTCCTCTTTTTAAATACGATCAATAGTAGTTTTCACTTCCGCCATTGACTCAAACTCGAGGTCTATTTATAATATTGTTAATTTAATATTATTCCCGTGCATTGCACGGGATACACACTAGTTAACATTAACTAGTAGTCCTCCTGTGCAGAGACAAATAAAAATTTATATATTATATGTATATATATAATATTTAGAATTTTAAATTAGATAATGAATGTATTATATTTTAAATTTTTTACTATACACAAATGTACAATATAAATATAAATTATTTAACTTGCATGTGAATCTTTATATTGATGACATAAATTTTAATGAATAATGTAATTTTGTAATTTAGAGGGACCATACGATTAATTAGTTAGAAAAGTATTATAACTATTTTTAGTGTTGTTATAGTAATTACTTATGTAATTTTAAAGAGTTTAATTATAACATTCATGTCAATTAACTAATATTAGAGAAAACCCGCTTTAATAAAAGGAAAAATAATATTTATTATATAATAAGTATCTTAATAAAAAAAATGCAATATAAATTTTTTATAAGTATGTAACTTTCACATACTATTATTTAATGTAAATTTATAATCAGCTAGTATTAGTAGTAATTATTACATAATAAATTAGTTTAAACTATTATTACACTTTATTAAAGTATACTGTAACAGTTCCACATTAATTGAAAAAAAGATATGTTTTTGGGCGGGAAAAATAAGAGAGGTTTTATTGAATGTTTTATTTATGGATTAGCCAGCAATTATATATACTAGTAATTATCCCGTGCATTTGCACAGAGGATAATACTTAGAAAAGATAACAATATAAAAAAAAACAAATAATCAAAATTTAATTCATAAAATAAATTATAAATATTATTAAACACTTTTTTATGTACAATATTCATGGTTTTTATATCGTCGGAAGCACCACAAAAACAACGCCCAAACCCCCTAACCCTAATTTTGCTTCTCTTCGCTTTTGAACATGTAAATATAATGATATACAAAATTGGTTTGGTCCAAAATTGTCTCTCTTTATTTTACAGTTGAATCCGACTTCCAGTATTTTTGTATATTGCCTCTCTTTAATTTAAAGTTGAGGTGAAAAATTGGATCACATATAAATTTACATAAGAAATTGGATTGTTATACCTCTACTTGTATTTATTTGTGAACTGTTTAATTAACAAAGAAATAAACAATGGAAGTTTCAACGTAAACCAGAAGGTATGCTATATAGAGGTGGGCGGGCACGGTTTAGGACGGTACAAGATTCAGTTATTCTTGGTATCTATCTCGCTTTTATAAACCCGTTCAAGACGAGACACTTTTTCAAATCTAGAATCAGAACAATTTGGTTCGGTAAGATGCCAATTTGTAGAAAATAAAAAATAAAACAATGTTTGTTTTCTAATAAATAAACTAAAATGATATCATCAAATATCTATCATAACATATATATATATATGTATGTGTGTGTGCATGTGTGTTTGTGTATGTGAGTGTGCGCTATTTTGTACCAAAGTAATTAAATGGGACAGTTAATGATAATAATATTTGAAACTGCTACCGACATTGTTCAAAACAATTCAATGTCGGGAACGGTAAAAAAATAAAGAAAACCATTCAGAACCTTATTTTCAAGAACGGGACCACTTCAATCTAGTTCGGTACGAGAAAATTCGATTTTTCGCCGGCCCTTTCTTATAGGTCATTAACAAATGATGCCACTTGTACAAGCCACTTTGGATTTATAACCTCTAAATTGATTTGAGAACTCGATGATGAAGTTAGAATAAGACTAAATACAAATATGAAAAATGTAATGCTTCACAACATGTGGAAAAATATTGGACAAACTGAGACGAGATGGATATATGCCCAAGAAGGTAGCTGAAGTTTTTGCAGGCTATCATTAAGAAAACAAAACAAAAGATTAGTGCCAATTAGCACCATATTTAACCCTGCACATATATGAAAATCCGGTTAATCATGATTTTCCTTGGCAATAGAAGTGAAGGGAACATATACAAAAGAAGTAAGATTACAAATGCAAATTTCGAACTGCTTCGACACCGACAAACAGCAACGAGGGTTTCCAAGCTGTTGATGAAAATTCTAAGAAACTTCCCCCAAGTCTGTATGAAAACTAACAGTGCAAGTCCTTCACCACTGTTAGAAAGGCTACACATCAAGACAGGACACATTACATTGGTCGGTGCAAAAACCCACAGAGACTTTTAAGTCGGTTTCGACTGATATAAGAAACACTTGACAGATGGACAATTTGCAATGAAAACCAAACTGAAGCATGATTCATCATATATTAGGCTCTTCTAATCTGAAGCATGATTCGAAAGCTGCTTTTGTTCTTCAAACCCATCTGCTTCAACAGCATTCTCAGGTTGAGGGACTTCTTCTCCAGTCTCATTTTCAGGGTGAAAATTGATGGGGAACTTGGTCACTCTCGGTTTATCAGATAATATATTTCTCTGGATTTTGTCGATCAAGACTTTCTGGGGAGGTTCTTCTCTGAGCTTCTCATCGTTATAGTCGTTATTCACGTAATAGCCCACACGGATAAACTCTTGACCCAAAAAAGAGCATGTTAATAAAAGCACTGTGACTCCTATGATGTCTTCCTCACGAATCTTGGAAGGATCTGGTGGGTCCGCCTGATGTTTAATTAATTCCCCAGTAAATGATAAGATATCAATGTTGCAAAATGTAGTCAGCTAAACAAATACAGTTATTTTATTTACCTGCAAAACAAAACGATAATTTCCAACATTGACAGGGCCGACAAGGACACTTTCTAGGAGCTGATCGTAAGTCTCGTCCTCTGCGGATCCCACGTAGATGAGCTTCCACTCCAAATCTGCATTTTTTTTTTTTTAATTAGAAACTGGAATAGAGAATTTTCAATGAAGTAAATAAAACAATTGCATTTCATGTATTAGTATGGCATCAACAGTTGAAGGAATCATCATGAAAGTGGGGCGTGAAAAGCAATTAGAAATGAGAAAGAAAGAGAGAAATGAGAAAATATCTTCCTAAACAATCACAAAATCATCACAGGACGACAGAGAAGAGTAATAAACTCACGATTCGAGCAAACCCTCAGCAGATGTATGTAATCATAGAAGTAAACTGTTCATCATATTCAAAATCATTGTTCGGTGATATACACCAACTCGCATAAGTAACTCTACTTTTATAGCCAGTGATCAGAAAGACGTTGCAGGCGAGGCGAGGCGGGCCGGGCCGACCCGCGGGCCTAGGCCCGTTTTGACATGTCTACTATTAGCTATGCTATAACGATATGAAGGATGCAAATGCAAATTCATTATGCCTATCTTTTGTCATTGGAAACTTTATACCGCAATATCTGGAGAAGACAGAAGAAAATAGAATAAGATCTTTGACAGTTACATTTTCTGATCCTCCCACGATTTCCTTGTTTCTCTATTCAGCATGTATTGATATTCCAGTGTTCATTGTAAGATCTTGTTTTCATTTTCCCAACTAAAGTTTCACAACCTTCTGAAAAAGATATGTTGGTTTTAACCAAATAGTACTGAAGGGGTGCGCTTGGGTCAATAGTAGTTCTGCCACTTCATTAACTCGTGCATGAAAACCATATATGGGTAATTGACAAATGGGTTCACTGGCTATCAATAAAATTTCACTAGAAACAGAAGAGCCTATCTCACTCCTACAGCCAAATCAAAACTTCAAGTAATATATTGAAAGATATGATGAATAAAACCCTTACCTACTAATCGTTCTGGTCCAGGCTATACATTTACTCAAAGAAGAGACTTCAATATAATCATTGATATACATCCGAAAACCTACCTAGTATAATATTTGGTTTATGCAGATGTTTATTTAGCTTGCTGCCAATATAACAAATAAGTTTACAACATAAGCGATGAATAAGACCCTTACCTGCTAGTGATTCAGGTCCAGTGCTATATATCGACTCAAAGAAAAGACTCCAATGAAGTCATCAACGTATATCCTACAACCTATCTAGTTAAAATATCTAGTTTATGCAGATGTTCATTCAGCTTGCTAGCAATATAACAGATGAGTTTACAACGTGGGCAAGGCATTACATGGCCACTGCTGTCTAGCATAGTTTGGTTGTATAGGATATTAAACAAATCACAGAATATCCATAATATGATTTTTCTACTCCTAGCTCGAATATCATTCAAGTTTACAATTACCATGAAAGTGGCAGCAGACTAGGAATCATTTTTTACAAAGGATGTTAAGATAGCATTTCCTGACTTGTACCATACAGCAATCAATAAATTCAAGTTTGTCTGCCAAGATCACTTGACACCCCATAGCCAGATCTAACTTAATTATTGTAGAGTACATCAACCTCCTAGACTAAGATACATGATATAAGTTATCATCAAGAGATGCTATGTTCTATTTGTTCCCAAAATTATCAGAGCTAAATTAACTTTTCAGAAATTCTTCTCACAGCCCATTTCTATTCACTAAGTAATTGTTCAAGTAATGAAACTAAATCCACCAATGGCAGCTGCCAAATGTTTACTGCCAAAACATATTCTGCAACTTTGGGAGTTGCAAAACCCTAATCTCCATATCTCTTCTTCATAACAATATTAACATTTTGGCCAGCTGACTACAAGTTTCTGACAAATGTAAGACATCAATTCAGTTCCAAATTTAAAAAGACATAAAAATTTGCAAACGAAAAAAATCCCAATACACGCACCCAAGAATCAACTAACCCTAGAAATTATAAGCAGCAAAAATAAAAATAAAATCAAAGGATAAAAACACAATCATGTAGCCCACGGGAAACAGCACAGGGTAAGAAAAAGATAAATAAACAATCACCATCTTTGAGGGGAGAAACGCATTCGTATGAGATTTCGAACTGAAAAGGGGACAAAAACGACGCCGGATTGTCGAGCACGGTGACGTTCGTGATGTTAACCGCACTCATTCTGCCAAAACCAAGGATGCGGAGAATCTCAGCACGGTTCGCAGTTACTCAAATATGCGCCTGATTGAGCCGCGAGGGCAGCAAACTTCACGGCGAGGAAAGAGCGCCGGAAAATGGAGATGACGACAGTGCGAAGGATTGTTTTTTAAAAAGGAAGGACGATTAAGGCAGCAAGAAACTGGGCGTGTTTTGAGAGGAGCAACCGAACAAGAGAAAAAGGAAATGTTCTTTCACCGTTGGAGGTTCGCTTTGGAGGTATTTATAAAGATGACCGGCTACGGTATTGGAAACTGGCTGTAGCCGGTTTCTTAATTTGGCGGGAGCTTCATTCTCTGGGTCTTTGGGGTGTGTTTCACGGGTGGTGACTGGGCTGGGTTGGGCTAAGGCCTATCAAAATTAACCACAAAAGGATAACTTCTTCTACATGGGCCAGTGACTTAATAGGTTATTGAGGAAATTACATCCTCCACTATCATTAACATTTTTATTACATATTTACAACCTATATATATTTATTTGCAAATTAACTAAAACTATCATATTTATTTGCAAACATACTAGATTATTGAGTAACAGATAATTGTTTTTAAATATGGTAAAAACAGATTTAATGGGATCTTAATTATACGACTTCTCTCTCTTTTCCCTTCTCTATTCTTCTTCTCTCTTCTCTCTCTCTCATATTCTTCTTCTTCTTCTTCTTCTTCTTCTTCTTCTTCTACAATTTGCTGCTGCTCTCCTTCCCCCACCGCTCTGCCTCCGCCCACCTAGTCATCCACGTCGCTGACCGCCTAATCTCCATCGGTAGATACGTTTTTCTACTTGTGGTTTGATGTTTGATGGGCAAATTTCATTAGTCTATCCATTTTTGTTACCCATTATAATTTTTTTTTAAATTTCATTAATCTATCCTTTTTCATGATAATGATGTTGATTTGAAATTGAAAATATGCAGAATGGAAGGCAGCCAAGTCTTTTTAACAACCAATTCAGAGGATAAACGTGAACAGACGCCGGCGGTGGTTCGCGACGGTTGCAAACCTCGCGTGTTTGGTGACTCGCGGATGGAGATCCTCGGCGATGGCTGCGTGTGTCGTAGATGTTAATTAGTTCAAGTTTGAAATTGAAATTAGCGAAGAAGAAGACGAAGAGGCTGAGCGAGGTCAAAACACCCGAGGCCCTGAAGAAGAAAATCATGACATCTTTTTTGAGAATTTTTTCGTTTGATTATTTTGGAGTATATGTTCAGTATAACTATAGTATATGTATAGTATATGTTTTTATTTTTGTTTTTGGACAAATTTTTGGATTAGTGTATATGTACAGTATATGTATAGTATATGTCAGTATATGACCCGCGTCCCTGCCAAAAAATAAGCTTATGTTTAGTATATTAGCAAACTTTTTTGTTGATGAATGTTTGTTTCGGTCGGATTGATTTTCTTCAGTATATTATTAGTCTTTTGGGAGGAATGAGAATTGCTTATTTGTATCATTTTGTTTGTGTTCGGTTGATTTTTTGAGTCTATACTTTGCAGTTTTTTCTTGTTTTTATTGTTCAATAAAAATTGTATGGTTTATTTCCAGTATATTTTTAGTCATGTTTCACTGTTTTCCATTTTTTTTTTCTCATGACATTAATAGGAAGACGTTCGATAGTATGTAATAGTTAAAAATTTTCGGTATATTATCAATATCTTTTTGGTATATTTTCTCATGGCATTAACAGGAAGACGTTCGGCGGTATATTATCAGTATATTCTCGGTATATTTTCTCATGACATTAACAGGAAGAAGTTCGACGGGTATATGTACAGTATATTTGCAGTATATGTTAAAGCAATATATATAGGCGACGAAGATTTCGTGAAATTTCGTACTCTTTGCCCGATTTCCTGAAATTACGCGCTAGGAACATGGAAGGTTGTTCCACTTACCTTGTAACTGATTTTAGGCATGATTATGAACATGGAAGGTTGTTCCACTTACCTTGTAACTGATTTTAGGCATGATTATGAACATGGAAGGTTGTTCCACTTACCTTGTAACTAATTTTAGGCATGATTATAATTAATATTTATCTTTTAGGTATATACACAATTTAATTGGTATGGATAGTAATATTGCAATTATCTAAAAATCAGTAAGTATACATAAAAATTTCCCTATTATTTGTGAAAACTTTTGTAAAATACAACATTCAAATGAAATCATACATCAATTCTTTTAGAGTCGTAAACCAANTAAAGGTTGTTGTTAAAATACCTTTTTAGAAACTTTTGACCAAAAAAAAAAAAAAACTTTGACAATCTAAATATAGAAACCATATTTACTGCATTTATAATACACGAAATTTTAAAAAAGTCATACTTCAATTCAAAAATTTGTTTATTAGAGATATTATTGGGATTGTGGATAAGTCATAATTGGATCCATAATTATCATTACATGATTAATTCAAAAATTAATTGGTTAGAGATATTATAGAGACTAGTACGGTGCCCGTGCGATGCACGGTAGCATTTATTGTATATATATTTTTTAAAAGATATTTTTGTATTTAAATTCTCTCATGCCATTAAAAATTTCTTGAAAATAAAATTTATATGTTATTAAACACTTCCTTATGTACAACATTATTGATTTGATTCTTTGGCACGTAAAGTACTACATAGGTGTTCGAATTTATCCAAATTGCATATTATTAGTTATTAGTTCACAAATTTTAAAAAATTAAAGGATCTTATTTATTGAACAAAATTAAAGTAGAAAAAAAAGTAAATTTTTTTAAGGATTTTCACCCATTATTTATTTTAAATCTAATTCTAAATTTCAAGAAAAATTGAAAAGAACTTAGTTAGTCCCGGAAATAAAACCGATTTTCTTACCAATAAACTGATTTTTTTATCAAACAAATTGATCTGTTTTTTTTTAAACCAAATAAAAAAATCATCAATTTTTCCTAAAAATGCAACTAAATTTTCCTAACATTGCACCAATTTTTGTACCAAACAAATTGAATTGAAAATAATTCTAATAAAAAATTGAAATAAATTGTTAATGTTTATGCAACTGTCTCTTTCTTACAGAAAATGATATGAACTTAACAAAAAAAAAATGATATGAGCTTAACAAAATCTCGATAAAACATGGTTAAGAAAAAAACATAAGAATCCAAAAAAATCGATGCATTTAAATTTTGAAAAGTTGCACATAATTTTTTCTAAATAATTGGATAAGGTGACTTTAAATATCAATGATGAACTGTTTTTGTTACCAAAAAAATGTGGACACAATTTTGAATGTACATCCCGTCCAAATATCAGTTTTATTTTAAAATAAAAATTGCATGTGGCTTTATCCAATTTACACAATTTTTTTGAAAGAAAAATTATTCAATAAGATTGGAAGAATTGGTTAAGAATTATACAACTATTTGTTTCTTAAATTTGTATCAAATTTCCACGGTTTTTAAATTAATTTGTATTTAGAATTGTTTTCATAAATAATTGACACATTTTTTGCATAAGAATCTCCAAATTTGTTACCAAAAAAGATATGATTTAAATTTTTGTAAACAAATAAAATATGATACGAAAAATATGGAATTCAAATTTTGCAATAAGAATCTCCAAATTTGTTACCAAAAAAATAGGATTTAGATTTTGTTACTAAAGATTCACATGTGTTTTTTCGATCTTTCTATTAATAGTAAGTCAGACATTATATTTATTTGGTCAAACTTTCTACTAATGTATTTTTCCAACAACCTCTTTATATATATATAGATATGTGGATAAATCACAACTGGATCTATAATTATCATTACATAATTATGCGAATATTGAGTTCAAAAACGGTTTTTGGTATAAAATCATATGCACTACCACTACTCAACAATTCACGTCATTCACAGTTTAGAAAAAAAAAAAAAAAAATTCACGTCATTCACAGCATAGAAAAAAAAACCGAGATAAATTGTACAAAAAAAAAAAAAAGATAAACTTCAGAACACATTGATAATAAATGCCGCCAGTCTGGGATACACTCCATTCCGTGAGTAGGAGAAACAAGCCTTTTTTGCACTTGAAAGCAGTCCTAATAGTTTGAAACGCATCACCAACAGGAGAGCTAGAACGCATTCCATATAATGTTTCATGATGAACAGGTAAATATTTTTATTTGTAATATCAAATTTATTTAATTTTAAAAAAAAATTTAATTCATAGTTATAAATTTATATTGTAGGGTACATTCATTAAAGAGATAATACGTTCCAAATATATGGGAGCATTTCGAGGTGTACTGAACGAAGGTGAGGTGTATGCGATCAACAATTATGTCGTTGAATTTAATCATGGGAAGAAGGATATCATAACCAACATATGGAAACTTGTGCTTCATGGAAGAACTCGTGTTATCAAATATGGTGGGATTTTCCCTCAAAATGTTGATATTTTCCCTTAACATTAGCAAGGAGCAGGAGATATTTATGATATTTAGTGTTTGATTATTATGAATTTTAATTTCATTCCATGTCGTTGAATCCGAATTCTATAATAAATTTTAGTGTTATTATATTTGTTATCCTTATAAAAGGTCGTTGGATATTTTTTTTTATTAAATGTCGCATGAATGTGAAAATTTCCCGTGTCATTTTATTTTTGACTTCTATTGTATATTAGTTTAAAATTGGTAGAATGTCATGATATAAGATATAAATTAATACAAATCCTAACAAATATTTCAAATATAAGATTATATAAAAAAAAATTACGGAATTAACAATAACTGAATTAAGTACATTTAATGTATTATATTGCCTGATTTTCCAATAATTTATCATAATGGATTATATTCATAAATATGAATATGAATTTTGATTATAATATTAATATTAATTTGTGTTATTTATAAATTATTATTATTAAAATTTTGACGTAAAAAGATGGAAATATTTGTTTGACGTAAAATTTTGACGTAAACAATTTTTAACGTAAAAGATTATAATATTTGTTTGACGTAAAAAATTTTTCAACAATTTTTTTGTATCACATTGGTATGGACAGAAATTTAATAGAAATATGGTAATTAAGTAACGATGCTATCACACAAAAATCTCCACTTTTTAACTACTTTGCACCTATCTTATCATCATACATGATAAGGTTGAAAATTAATATATAGTATTTAAAATTGATTTAGGTTTTTATTGACCGAGTATCACTCTTTGAATTCCATTTGAATTCAAAATTGCTGTATTTTTTCTTTAAACAAAAAAATTTACGGAATTAACAATAACTAAATCACGTACATTTAATGGATTATATTGTGTGATTTTTCAATAATTTATCATAATGGATTATATTCATAAATATGGATATTCATTATAACATTTATTTTAATTTGTGTTATATATATATTATTATTATTAAAATCTTGACGTAAAAAGATGGAAAGATTTGTTTGAATTAAAATTTTGACATACAAAATTTTTGACGTAAAAGATTATATTATTTGTTTGACGCAAAAAAAATTTTCAAGAATTTTTTTTTGTATCACGTTGGTATGGACCGAATTTTAATGGAAAGATTTATGGTGATGGTAATTATGTAATGATGCTATCACACAAAAATCTCCACTTCTTAACAACTTTCCACTTATCTTATCATCATAAAAATTTCGGTCCATACCAACGTGATAATCATTTGTGTTTGGATTGACCGAAATATATTCCATTTGAATTCAATGTCATTCATTTAGAAAACATAACAAGTAGCGAGTCTTACGGTGGATAAATCACGAGAGTTAACAATCTGATAAATCACGTTTTACTAATCTTATCATGATTTTAGAGTTTGAATTTATTGAAACTCTGAAATTAAAATCACGTGCAAAGAATTTTATCAAGAGAGACTAACGTGAGTCCAACTAATCTTATCATCTAATAGTTATCTACTTTCATCCCATGGCTATAAAATAAACGTCGGAGCCTATATCACGTATCAGAAAATCCTCACACTACAATTTCACATACAAACAGAAAAATGGCGAGAGCATAGGGAAACATCAAGCAAGTAACAAGGACCAACAGGCCAATTTTCAAGTTGAGGGTGGTTTGAGTTTTCCAAAGGACCAATCAATAATCATCCTACAAGAACATCCTTGAAATTGTCTTTCATGACATTGATGTTTAATTCATAATAAAAATAATGATTATCCATTTTTCTCATCATGTTAATTATAATATCTAATATCTAATATTATTTTTCTTTTTTTTTTCAGGGAGGTCGAATTACTGGAATAGTAAGAGCAATCAACATCCCAACTTTCATCAATGAATTCGAAGAAGGTGTTGTCTATGCATTTCGAAACTATCAAGTCGAGAGTAATATCGGAATGTATAGATCCACCATTGCACAATACAGGCTTATACTACATGGTGGAACCGAACACATAAGCTACAAGGGTGACTTTCCAATTTTCCGTTTTGACTTTCGAAAGTTCAACACATTGATTGATATCGAGCAAATCGACGAATCAATGCTATTTGGTAACTGCATTTTCACTTATTTAATTTTTTGTATAAGCCTGAGTTTTTTAATAGTATCAAGTGTTCCGGAATACCGAACCATGAGTTGTATTTGAAGATTGGAAATCCAGTCATGTTGTTGCGGAACATGGATCATTCTATGGGTTTGTGTAATAGGACACGATTGGTAGTGACAAAGCTATCGACTCACGTTCTTGAGTATAAGATACTCACAGGAGATCATGCTGGTGATAAGGTGTTGACTCCAAGAATGACAATAACTCCTTTTGATGTTAGAATTCCTTTCAAGTTCCAGCGGCGACAGTTTCCCATTATGGTTTCTTACGCCATGACTATAAACAAGAGCCAGAGACAATCCTTATCTCATGTTGGCTTATTTCTTAAGAAACTAGTGTTCAGTCATGATCAGTTATATGTTGTTGTTTCCCGTGTCACTAACCGAAAAGGTTTGAAAATCTTAATTTGTGGCGAAGATGACGTGCCAAAGAATCAAACCAATAATGTTGTATATAGAGAAGTGTTCAATAATATATGATTTTTTTCAATTTAATGATATGTTTATATGTCTATAATTTGTGGCGAAGATGACGTGCCAAAGAATCAAACCAATAATGTTATATATAGGGAAGTGTTCAATAATATATGGTTTTTTTCAATTTAATGATATGTTTATATGTCTATTATTATGATCATGATCATTGCCTGCATAACACAATTTATATACAAAATTACTTTTTAAAAACATTATAGATAATAATATCCCGTGCATCGCACGGGTGACTACTAGTATATATAAAGAGGTTGTTGGAAAAATACATTAATAGAAAGTTTGACCAAATAAATATAATGTTTGACTTACTATTAATGAAAAGTTCAAAAAAACACGTGAATCTTTAGCATCAAAATCTAAATCCTATTTTTTGGTAACAAATTTGGAGATTCTTATGGCAAAATTTGAATCTCATTTTTTTCGTATCATATTTTATTTTTTTTACCAAAATTTAAATCATATCTTTTTTTGTAACAAATTTGGAGATTCTTACGCAAAAAATGTTCAATTATTTATGAAAACAATTTTAAATACAAATTAATTTAAAAACCGTGCAAATTGGATACAAATTTAGGAAGCAAATAGTTGTATAATTTTTAACCAATTTTTTCAATCTTATTGAATATTTTTTTCTTTCGAAAAAATTGTGTAAATTAGATAAAGCCACATGCAATTTTTATTTTAAAATAAAACTGATATTTGGACGGGATGTACATTCAAAATTATGTCCACATTTTTTGGTAACAAAAGCGGTTCATCATTGATAGTTTTTTTTTTCCCGAAACGATAGATAATTTTATAAATCAAAATGCACAAATGTGCGAAAACACAGCAGCCAACGGCTGAATACACAGCAACCAACAGCTGAAAAAGTGGGAAGACAGGTCAGAAGCCCGCCTAGAATCCCGACTAGCAACGCTAGAATACAAAATACACTCACAACTAAACTAACCTACAACACAAACAATTTTTACAACTACAAGGACCCCAACAAGGTAATACCCTAGTGTCGGACCCCAACGGAGTAATAAGTTTGACACTCGGGCTCACAGAGGGCCAACGGCCCAAACAAAAAATACATGCCCTAAACAATACAATCACAAAACAAACTAACAAACAAAAAAACCACAAAAAACAAAGAAAACACTAATCAAAACGAAACAAACCCTTCCTAAGCAGCGAAACCAAGTAGAGCCGGTGGATACCGAATCGATCCAGAATGAGTCCCACAGCCAAAGAGAACCGACCCGAAACTGCCCAAACACCAACTCGGTGGCCTAACGAAGTCAAATCCCAAGCCCCAGAACAACATCCGAAATCAAACTCGAACTGCGACCTCAACACCCAAGATGCCTCAGGACCACCACTTGACCAGCCCACTAACACCACTAGCGAGTCCAACCAAACCCGGTAAACCCCGAACCACAAAGAAGCCAAGGATGCAGCCACGTCTCCGACCGCCCGAAGCCGCCACAAACCACCACCCACCACTACCCCACCTCTGCCATCACCACTGGCCAGAGGTCAAAGCAATGGTCCACCCCAGACCCAACACCGAAGGAAAGGGGAAGAAAGATGGAAGCGCAGCGGAGCTCCGACCGTTCGACACCATCGACGCCGAACAACCGAGGCACCATCCACCCGACCGAATCCGCCGCAATCCTCCGCCCACCACAGCCCCGCCTCTGCCATCACCACTGGCCGGAGGACAAGACAATGGTCCTCCCCAGACCCACCAACGGAGGAAAGGGGAAGAAAGCAGAGAACTCGGCGGAGATTCGAACACCCACCCCCTTCACCACTCTCCAGGAAACCGAAAAGAAGAGCCCGCGGCCGGCCACAGAAAACCGACCCAATCTTGAGAGATAAAAGCTTACCTGAACCAGCGATGAGGGAGGCGCGTGAATCCGGGCGGAGGCCAGGCGGCCGGGGGACGACCACCGATTCAAGCTCGATTGCCGCAGAGGAAGGCCAATCTGCTCTGAATTGATGGAGAACAAGCGGCGGGTAGGGTTTTGGAGAAAGGGGTTGATATTTGTTTCAATGGTTCATTGATTGTTAAAGTCACCTTATCCAATTATTTAGGAAAAATTGTATGCAACTTTTCAAATTTTAAATGCATCGATTTTTTTGGATTCTTATGTTTTTTCTTAACCATGTTTTACTGAGATTTTGGTAAGTTCATATCATTTTTTTTTTTTTTTGGTTAAGTTCATATAATTTTCTTTAGGAAAGAGACAGTTGCATAAACATTAAAAATTTATTTCAATTTTTTATTAGAATTATTCTCAGTTCAATTTGTTTGGTACAAAAATGGTTGCAATGTTAGGAAAATTCGGTTGCATTTTTAGGAAAAATTGATGAATTTTTTATTTGGTTTAAAAAAATTTCGGATCAATTTGTTTGATAAGAAAATCGGTTTATTGGTAGGAAAATCGGTTTCGTTTCCAGGAGTAACTAATGATTCTTTGCAATTTTTATTAATTGAAATTTAGAATTAGATTTAAAATAAATAATGGGTGAAAATCCCTAAAAAAATTCTACTTTTTTTTTCTACTTTAATTTTATTTAATAAATAAAATCCCTTAATTTTCTTAAAATTTGTTAACTAATAACTAATAATATGCAATTTTGGATAACTTCGAACACCTATGTAGTACTTTACGTGCCAAAGAATCAAATCAATACTGTTGTCTATAAGGAAGTGTTTAATAACATATAAATTTCATTTTCATGAAATTTTTAATGGCATGAGACAATTTAAATACAAAAATACCTTTTAAAAAATAAATAGATACTAAATGTTCTTGTGCATCGCGCGGGTACACTGCTAATATAGTGTAGTTGGCTCTAATATTATTAAAATTCACGTTATTGGGTTGGGCAGGATGCACGTATTTAAGAAACATAAGATGCAAATGCTTCACTTACACAAACTTTTGAGTTTTGCAACTTGTGTTTACTCATTTCGATTATTATATGATAAATTATATACATACTACAATTATTGCAACATTTTGTTAAAAATTTTGCAACATTTTGCGTATATTCTAACCTTTTTAAAAATATTGCACATATACACTTTATTGTAAATTTACTAACTATTATTTCTTTTACATTTATGAATAGTTTATTTGTACTCTATAATAGATTTATATTATTGTATCTCGTTACATGGCTAAAAAGATTATATTCATTTATCAACATAAACTATTAATAATCGTCAAATAAATATTAAAATCTACAAATTCTCATAAAATCAAGGACTTCTAGAACTATCCTTCTCTTTCGACACTTTCCACATATATCTCTTGTCAGTCACCATCCCTACATACACCTTCTAACTTCTCAGACATACCCCCCAAATTAAAGATCATCCGAAACCCTACAAATTCCCAATTTCCCCTCAATCGCAACACTCTCGAACTTCGAGGAGGAAACCAGAGGAATCTTTCGGCGATTTAGCAAGAACATATGTTAGCTTTGGTTACCCAAAAAATCTGTTACTCATCCACAAAGTAATGATTCATTTATGAATTACTCAAGATTTTTAATTATTGGCGACTAAAACTCTCTCTATTGCATTCATTCATCGAAGCACCAAAGACTTGCTTTTGTGAACCACAAACATTTAAGAACCGATTTAAATAAACAATTTGCATTTTTTCAAATTCATATCACAGAGGAAGAAGTAAAACGGGACAGGGAATGAACTCGGCCAGCAAGTTGGCATCGACATGTTTGGAATGTATGGCCTCCATGCTCAGTATCACCAGATCCATATTCATTTCGTCAGCAACCTCTCCTATTATAGCTGTCGGCTTCTTTCCATCTCCAAGCCTCTCTAAAAGCTTAAATTCTTGAAAGCCACCTGCAACATTAGTAATCACACGACTCCATAAGAAAAATACGCATATACAACGAGAAGCTTGTCACTATATTAAACAAAGAAACAATAAATTCATATAAGCAAACTTATTGATCTGCGTTAAGTAAATATAGGCCTATCTTTGTGGGACGTATGGTAACCTGATCATGACGAAACCTACCTTCAGATAAATGCCACCTAATGGTAGCTACTTGAGTCTCATGGTTCTCCAAAGTTTCCTTCTCCTTTTCGTCGATAACTGCAAATAACATTCAAGTATATTTCTCGAATATGGGAAAGCGGTTTGATAACAAGCATGCAAGGACATGTCAAATATATGGAGGTAGATTGGCAATCATACCTACGACTGTAATCTCAGCCCCATATTTCTTTGCCAAAGCAGCAGTGGTGCTTGTGGCCTAGTCGAAATATTATTAGAAAAACAATCATGACTAGAAAAAAAGAAAAAAAAAAAAAAAAATNGAAAAAAAAAAAAAAAATCACAAAAAGGCAAGTGCTTAAATATTCTTCAGAGACAGATGAATAAACTTTTTGACTAGGGCATATGAAACTTCAGGTTCAGTGCTTTGACCAATATACTGAAAAATACAACTACAATAACATGAAGAGGGCAGGCCAACCGCTAAAGTTTCTAACCGGTTGTACTAATTCGTCACTGTTAAGTCATGAACCAGAAGAAAAGAAAAACACGTTAAAACTACATGGCGTGACGAACAACTCCACCAAGCCAGGGCAGCATTCAACCAAGTAACGAAACTGCATGGATTAAAATCCAAACACGTATGCTGCTTAACTTGCTGATTACACATATTAGGTAATACAAGATAAAAGTAAAAAATCATCAAGAAAAATAAATGGAAAAAGCAAAGGGGTTGAAAGTAAATACCTGCTTTGTACCCTCCGTAAGATAAGGATTGCGGTCGACTACTGGAAGAAGCAACTTCTTAAACTCGGTAAAGGCATCCGGAGGTGGGCTCATTTCAAATCCCTGTGGAGTTAATCTCACTGGAAGTGAACAGAAACGAGCACATTATCATCTGAAATCAGCCAAAACAGACATAATCTCCAGGATATTGAAATAAAACAATAGTATATGAAGGAATGCCTTAACAAAAAGTTCACTGTGTCAAAGTACTAGTAGATTTGTCGGTCAATAAGAAATGAAAATCAAGAGCAGTGAGAAAACCAACTACTAACTGAAGGGATTCATCTGAACACAATACCTATGAAGCATTTGAAGAGCCACTTTCGAAAAATGCTAGCAGATTTGTCAATCAAACAATTTAAAATCTTTAGGGGTGCATAGAAATGGGACAACAAGACAATTGGGCAAAAGTTTACCTTGATAAACCAGAACAAGCATTAGCGGAACAATACAGAAAACATTTAGTACAAAAAAGTAAAAGGTACAACATTAGCAGAACAAGAAACCACCATAACCAACGCATAAAAAATGGACAAACTGGCAGCAGAGCTAACACAACGAAAAAGAAGAAAAACCACAATTAAAATGTGAAACATAAACTTATTAACTACCTCGAAACGAAGATCGTAGTGGATTAGGCGAAAAGGAGAAATTGCGACCTCTAAGGATGTGCGAGCTGGAAAATTTGGGGACTGAAAGCGATGGGCTGACAACAGAGGCAGCGGACCGAGTACCTAAAAGCTCTGGAGTTTCCGGCGGAAGCGTGAGCAGGCAGCGAGAGAGCGCCATGGCAGTAGATTCGAGAAACGGTGGTTGACGACAAATGGGTGAGAACAAGGGCCGAGAGAGTGTAAATGAATCATGAATGGGGGAAATGTGTTTTTTTATTCT